TCAGCCCTGCTATTTAGTATTTATCATATCATCCTGTTTGAATTTTTATTGCTACTCAGGGAAGAACATGTGAATTTGCTCAACATTTAATTTTATTAATGTCAAATACCTTTTTGAGGCATCAGTGTTGCTAAGCATTCTAAAACAGTGAAGAACTTGAACATTAAATTATTTCCTACTTGTTAACACTTCATAATTATAATTTAAAAGCAATTAATAGGGCAACTATTTTGTAAAATGAGAAATATTAGATTGTGCCACCAAAACAAGTAAATAAATATTGTTGTTGTTTCTGTGTTTATGTTAAACTAAGTTTAAAGGAGTATTGACCACCTTGATTCTTCTGTATCTCACTATCTTCTGATACCAGCCAATATTTTATCCTCATCTCTTCTCTCTCATCTCTCCCTGAGTCATCTCTCCAAGGGAAGATTGAAGGTCAAGGCTTTGAATGCGCCCACATAAATGGAAAAGCAGAGATGGTAACTCATCTCATTAACAATGGAATTTTTCTACATAAACCTATGACTTGATGATAAATTCCAGAAACTCTGACTGGGCAGAATGCAAATGCAGCTCCTCCATAGAAATATAATAGGCCAAGAACTGTATTTTAAATTTCTTCCCCTGACACACCCCCCAAATGTTGATTGTTTGTAAACATGATGCTCGACATTGAATTTGTTTTTACATATCATCTTGCTGAATTTCTATGAAATTGTGGGATGAAGTTGCGTTAAGTTCATATTTGCAATTCATTTTATATGAATTGATGACTGCCCAGAAATTTCAATTAGCTTAAATACTGCTATTCATTCTTTTGAATAATATAAAGTTAGAATAATTTATGGCTCTTAAATTGGTCGAAATCAAAACTTTCATAAAATTCCTGGATTCACAATATCTGATTGAATATCTCTCTATACTTTGCCAAATATGTTGTCCTGCTGGTATCGTCAATAATTGACCACCTCAATAATTGCTCCAATAGATCAAATAAGGTCACAGTAGGAGGATTATTTGAACTATCATTTTCTGCATACTTATCCTGACTTAATGTTTTTTGATAATCTGGTATGGATTATTTTTTTGTGAGCTCAGTTTTTCTTCTTCTTTTCTGGACGTAAGTTGTAATGCTTAGTTTTACAAAACTTTTTTAGTTTTACACAGTTGAAAAACATTATATATTAAGATTTCATATTAATACATTCATTTCTAATGTTAATAAATTTATTTATAAGCTGTTTCTAGCATGTCATCATACTATTCCTTAATAAATTTGAAACTTCTTTATGCTTTTTGTAAATTCTTTTAAAAATACTCTCAAAGTTGATGACTCAAAATACGATTTTTTGTTTTTATTTGTCCATGAAAAAAATATGCTTCCTAAGAAATACATAAAGGTAGGATTACTCATTATACCCAGTAAAGTCTTTATAACCCATGTGAAAAAGCCATTTAAAATGGAAGATAAGAGATTCAGTGTAAATAATTTATTACAGTTGTTTGTGAGGAACATTTCTGAAGATTAATTGAAATGTATCTGTTCACAAAGGATACATTTTATATATGTGCTTTTTTAATGATAGGAGCAATTTCAACACCTGGAGTTTAAAACAGGTCCAATGGAAAGCAAGCTTTATTCAAGACATAAATAAAGCCCTTTACAAACAGCCATTTGGAACTTCACTCTTTGAAAAATCTCCTATAGTCCTTTTTCAGAGGCAAGTTAATGTGTGCTTGGGAAGGGCAATTAAATTGTCAGAATTTTTTTTAAAAATGTTTTAAAGTAGAAAGTAGCCCAGAGAATAGTCATTGCATTGATATTGATTGTCTGAACAGAGAACATTAGTCTTAAGGTATTTACTCTGCCACCTCTACACCAGAGGCTCTCCTTCAAATCAAGTCAATTCCTTGAAGAGATGGCTACCGGAATACAGAAATGAGGCTGAAGAAGGACATTATTTTTGCTCTCTAGCCTTAGTCCACTAAGTCTGATTGTTTCTGGACCTCTTCCACTTCTTCCAACAACAATATTTAATAAACTGCATTCCTGAAGGGAGGAACTATAGGAATAGTCTTGTTATGAACTACCTATCAAATCTTCTATTGTACAAGCTTGCAATGACAACTTATTTTCCTTCAATCTTTTTTTTAAAAAACAAACAAACTGAACATCTAGAAGACAGCAGAAATTAACAAACGTTACAATAGTTGTGAAAAATAAACTTATGAATATAACAAAGAGAATATTTCTTCCAGAAATCATGTATAAAGCATATACAATCCACAATTACTGTAGCTGATGTATTTAGAATTAAACCAATAAACAGCACTGCAGAAAATAAGCAAGCTTGAATACAATTGCTTTGACCAAAAGGAATTGTAGAAGATTGTAGGCCTTAAAATAGAATATTCTGCAATTAAAGAATCCATAGAACAGAATAATCATTTCATTGAGAACTTGTGATATACTGAAGGATAAAAAGAGATTTGATGCTTCTTACAAAATTCTAATTCATGTAGAACTTTGTTAACTATACATTTAAATTAATTTAGCCTTTGCCTTGGTTTACTTTTTTATGTGTCACCTCTGCCATGCCATTCAAAGGCCAAATATACCTGTCATCTTGAAGTTAATGTATGCTTATATACTAGCTTGAATACAATTTACAAAGACTAGATGTTCATTTCAGTTTCCTTTCTATTTCCTATTTAGTTTTGCTATCCAAACTATTTTCATTAGTAAGCATTAGACTGAATTAGGACTATACATTGCTTCAGTGCCAAAAGCAAAAAAAGTGGTTCAAGTATGTGGAGGGCATAAGTAGAGTATCTGTCCAGTATTCAGCTGTGCCTTTTGCCAGTTGTGGAATAGTAGTAGGCAGCCACACAATCCTAAGAAAAGATGCATTTGATTTAAGGAACAGGAGGCAGCTGTTTCATTTGAATCTCTGCACGCTCCAAAGCACCTTTTTCTCTTTGAAGGTGAAGCAATCCACAGCCTTAATTTGTATTATAGAAGGAAGAAAGCTCTTGAACAGCACAGTAATGGAAACAGCTGAAAAAACATATTCGTGCACAATCACCTGGTATCTGTTCAGTTGTGGATACAAAACACAGAAATTGTTTTGTGAATCAATTTTAAGGCACTTTTACTTTGAGCAAGTATGTGATGCTTAAGTATGTGAGTATATGTGTGTATACTGAATATAGGGACAGAGACATTTTACTTTTAAAAGGGTTGGAATGTTTTACCAATTAATTAGTTAATATATTTTCACAAACCTAACCTATCTAAAACTATACAATAATTATTTATTCCATGAAGTATTGTCTGCAATACCAAGTCAAACCATCTTAGAAAGTATGCCTTTTTGGCATTAATGTCTGTTGTGGCATAAGTGCATATAGTCTAGAAACAATAGACCAATGCTTCTATTGTATACACATTAATTCAATAAATCAGGTTTATTTCAATAGTTTGCTATATTCTACTTGCAAGTACAGGATTGAAGTAGAATTGGATTTAAAAAATATCTGAATTAAGAGTATTCTTTATTTTCTTAAACTCAAAAAACTGTATTAATAGTGAGTATGGTATTTGAGAAGAAAAGACAGTATTGTAGCACAAAAGCCTTTACAAATAACATTTAATGTACTCACCTATATAATTAGTTATGTAAATGTATTTTCATTTTTGTATTTGCTTGACTTTTCACAATCATTATAGTGAAAAATGCATATCATACAGCCTATTACAGTTCTGTACTACTACATTGCTCTGCATACACATACACACACACACACACACACACACACACACTGAAAAATGTATTTACCACAAATGATACTGCTAAAGTATTCACCGTGTGTTATTACACAATTAGTAGTTAAATATTAGGTTTAAAATTAAGCACAAATTGCTATATGATTTAGAACATCTTAATATCTTTCATTTAGTTAGATCTCTGTTATTACACTAATGCATCATGATTTAAAACTTAATAAAATATATATAAAAATAAAAATATAACCACTGAATTCTTATCAGAATATTCTGATAAATAAACAAAAAATGAACTAATGCTCTACTTCATTATTGCATTTCTGAAAAACAATGCAAATGATAAGCATCAAACTTTACTAAATATAACTGTCAAGGACAATTTACATCTTGAAATCTGTGTATCAATGTACAACAGATACAACAATGTATCAATCCCAAAGCAGAAAGGGCCTAATTGATGCTACATCTGATTTTTCACCTCCTTTAGCAAAACATGAGATGATCAATACCATTATAGGTTAAGATTGTACTAATGATTCTTCTCTATTTGATCATGTATTTAAAATACTTCTATCACATTTGGCATTATAGCTTCTAACATATTGGAGACATTTTCTTTCAGAAATGACACTTTTAACAATAAGTACAAGAGGTTAAGATCCTTGGCCCATGTTGTCTGTTGTTCTGTCTACTTGCCTGCCATCTATCTTATCTAGGTATCTATCTATCTTCCTATAATTTACTTCTCATATTTTGAGAATAGCTTTTACTCTGGCTTTTATAATGCAGAAAAATTAAAACAGAGCTCCTGTGAATATCATTGGACTCATGCACAATTTTTGTTTTAACCTGAAGTTAATTAAAATAATCAGTGGGGATTTCTCCCAGAAAAATATATCATGTTTATATTGCTGCAACTTCAAAAATACAAAAAAAATTGTCACAAAATCTTATTAAACCTTAAAGGATAAGAGAATCTTAAACCTTTGTCTCAAATCTCTGGTATACTCAACCCGCTACCTAAAGGATTTTTCCAAGGCAGATGCTGCTAAGAGATAATGACTAATTAGGTCTTGAAATCCTCAGGTCTGAAATGCAAAGAAGAGAACTTCAAACATGACAGTTCATACTGTCTTAGAGCAATCAAGTTCTCTATCTCCATTGCCATATAGACCTGAAACTATTGACAGTGAGTAGATTTTACACTGACCGTGGTCTATGGCAGCTTTTAAGGTCGCTTCAGGATGTGTCGATCCAAGGGGGTTACACACAAATCGTCGCCGGCGCCGCAAGTCATCTTCCCAGTAGTCAAGGCGCCAGAACTCACGAGGACGACTACAATGAAATAGAGAAGCCACATATGTTAGCAATTACCAAACAGCATGGTAGCACTGGATTTCTGCATAAAGCTTTCCTTGTTTGCTCTTTTCCTTTTCCTTTTTTAAAAACAGCACCCTAAACCCTTTCTACAATCTTTAAGTTAGATATGTCCTTGAAAATAACAGTATCACCTTCCAGTCTGAGAAACTCCTTTTCCTTTCTTTCTTAGAAGGTGAAATGAGCACTAAATACATCATTTTGAAATGAATTGCTGACAGTGTGATCAGTTTCCCCACACTCTAGTGGCATGTGCTCCGATTTCAGCCTCATTTCAGCCTCAGCAGGGCACCTTTCTCAGTGACTGCATTTATAAACCAGAATAGGGAAAAGCTATTATAAATATGGTATAGCATTACCTATATTAATCAAAGTCTGTCCCCCTTCATTTTTCTTCCTAATTTGTGCCTTTTTGTACAAGGTCACTAAATCTTATCATGAATTCTTGGTTGAGAAAGTGTTAACTTTAATGAATACTTCTGTTACATGATTATGTATGTGATAATAAAATATTGCTCTATTTAGATCTGCAGGAATTTAATTAAAATAATCTTTTAAAATATTCATTACTTTTAGCCCCCGAGGCATAGAATGTAAAAAAAAAATCCTTTTTTGTTTCCTTTTCCTGCTTTTAAATAAACTATTCCAGGAGAGTGAAATAACAGTTTATTCTCAAGCAAATCAGATTTGGTTTCTGTTTTTATGTAGCTAGATTTTTGCAGTTAATTAAGAACTTCATGTTACGGTGAGAATACTGAAAGGATACATCTTAAAATTTACATTTGTAAAAAGGTTCTACAACATTTGTTATTTTCCATATTGTATTATTCAAATATGCATAGATCTTTTTAATATGGGCATATATAAATGCCAATTCCCATCATGAGAAAGTGTGCTATAAAACTGTACATTATCCATTAAAAAAATGGCAATAGCAGCCAATTCAAGTATGTATTCATATCTAGAGATACAAATAAATATGTAAAATAATAAAAGCCTGCAGAATAACACTGAGATATACTGCCAACATCTACATTCCCCACTTACAAATTATATTATTTATAAAGAAATATCTATTGTAAGAATGTAAGCAAAAATTACTTTCTATATTATCATTTCATTTTATGAGGTAATAATCATTGCACATATGTCAACTTTGAAAAATAAATAGCTCTGATTAATTTACTGATTGTAAATGAATACAGACTCACAATACCAGTGATTTTCTTATTTAATCTCCAGAAATATAAAAGTTTATTTTTTGGGAGTAAATGAAAATTTACAAACTTCTGCTCTTGTAAGCCTAATTGTTGAAAGTCCATGCTATGAAACCTAATATTCATGCAACATAATCTTAATTTTTAAAAAATCTTTACTTTTTCCTGATAGTATTCTCATTACTCTGTAAATTATCTGCATCCCTGGTAAATGAAACACATACATTTTTACTATCTATAATATATTTATTTCAGAAATTTAAAACAAAATCTTCAAGACTAGTTTGTAACTTATTTTGCAGGATTTATCAAGGGCAGGAATATGCATTAAAAAACTACATTTGTTCAAACTGTGATTAATAACTTAAAATTCGCCACAGCAACTATGAAAAAAAGGCAGATTACTACTGCCTCTGTGTGCATGTATTTGATAGTCATGAAACCTGGACAGATACTTCATCATTCTGCCTTTCTTCACTTATCTGTTAAAATTATTATCAAATATCAACTCAGATAGGAGTCTCAAATCACAAACTGTTCCTCATCTTCTGGGGAATTATATAATGGAGTCTATTAATCAGTATGGCAATCAGCACAAATAACTAGTTACCTAGACTAAGGTTTTTTTGTATAAATTGTACTGTTATATATTGTATCTAGCGCCACAAACATATGAAAATTAACACCTAGTATAAGCTTCTAAAAATTGTTAAGAGCTTCTGTCATAAATTCTAGTACACTGTACTACAATATTGTTCAAAGATATTAAATTATTAAGGTCAAGCAGTCAGCTTTTTCTACTCTTAATGAAATTAATTTTTGTTTTAGGAGAGTTAAAATTACTAAAATTATATATAATTACAAAATAACATATGAAAGGAACTGGAAATATATAAAAGGCACTGCAAAAGTATAGGTATACTGTAGATGAGATAGTTCTAGACACAGAGATAACAATAGAGATTTTGATACCCCAAATACACAGTATAGGGCAGGCATGTCAAGCTCGCGACGTCATATGATGTCGCGCGATGTATCACGACTTTTTCCCCATTGCCGGCAATGGGATGGGTGTGCTTTCGACATGACGCATCTGGCCCGCGGGCCGGCAGTTTGATATGCCTGATATAGGGAGTCAGGTAAACAGTGCAATTAAAAAGTTATTTCATCAGAGAGGAGGGCCACTGAGAGAAACATTCCCAAAACAACCACCCCAAAATTATCATGACTAAATATATATATGCAAACAGCAAATCTCGGGTTGGACAAATAAACCAATGTAATTAGTTATCATTACATTTTTATTTGTTCCGTTCCTATGTTTACGAAATTCTAGCATTTTCATACTGGTTAGAAATTATCAGCAGCACCTCTGTTTGGCACAGCACCACATTACCAGTTTCTTGTGGAACTGGTTTTTCTTAACAGCAGAAAGGAAAGGACCATGGCTACAATTTTACAAAAAAGAAAAAGTATTTATAAGCAAAAATAACAAAATGCTATTTTCCTCTAAACAAAAAGTGTGAATAGAACATCATTTATTTTGACGCATAAAAATCCTCAAGAAGCAATCTAAGATTTTAGAGAAATAACCAGTGACCAGAACAAAACTAATATTTCATGAAATGACATTCCTAAAATGAATTAGTGCAGTGCAACAATCCCTATTGCAGGACTAATTTAAAAAGCAAACTAAAACTTATATATGCGAAAGGCAATTCTGCAAAACAGAAAGTTCAGACCAGTAGCCTTAATAAACCACATGCTGTAATGAAAACAGGAGACTAGTCTGGAGCTCATTTCACAAGATGCCTGTTCAAAGAAAAACATCTCTTGTTTCCTGGGCTGGAGGTTAAATACATCATGCAGGTAAAATGTTTGCTTATGCCTGGTCATGAATGTGAGTTTTATACCATCGAGGAAAGTGCCTGACTGACACATCTAGAAGTTGAAACTATCAATTATCCTCAAAACAAATACACTTGTGATGAGCATGTAATAATGTTATCTATGTGTTATCCTTAGGTTTGTTTAAAGACAATAAAATAAGTGTCATTAACAAGCATAAATGTTAGAGTAATATTGTTATGTGGGGTTATGCCAGTGATGGTCCACTAGAAATGCACTGCACAGAGAGCCAGGAAACTGAAGATAAATCCTTTTCATGAATATATTTCCCTTCCTCTAGGAATGGTATCCTCAAATACTTTTATCCAACAGTAATTTCAGGTTATGCACCCTTTCCAGATACATGACTTTAATTTTCAGCATTGGTAAAAAAAAGAGTTGCAGGTGCTCATAAAACTGAGTACCTAAAATGGCAAGCCGTTGAAGCAAAAATGGGAGGATGGAACTGTACCCTTGAATACAGAGGTAAGGGCATTTAGACAAGAGGAATTACTAAAAACAAGTCATTAAAAAACTCAAAGCTAACAGTTTAGAACAGGGGTGTCAAACTGCTGGCCCATGGGCTGGTTTCATCATACTGAAGCCGCGCCCACCCCATTGCCGGCAATGGCAAAACCGGCCCGATACGTTGCGCGACATGTGACGTCGCGAGTTTGACACCCCTGGTTTAGAACTACCATATGACATTTCACAACTGGTGCTCATTTACAACCATTGCAACATCCCAAAGTCACCACTTGTGTTTTTCACAATTGGCTTCTGATAATGGAGAATGCAGAACTAAAATCACAAGTTGCAGTCACGTGATGTCTTATTTAACAACTGAGTGAGAGATGCCATCATAAAATCATGGACACATGATTTTCTACTTAATGATCATAGCACTTAGCGATGGAGTTGCCAGTTCCTGTATTAAACTCATAAATATTCTGTTTAAATGTCAACTTACTAATTTTTCTGCTTAAAACTAAAAACTTTACAAGATTTTAGCCATTGCCTCAGTCTCTGTGTATGTGTATGTGTGTGTATTATATAATAATCTCATTCCATTCCATTCCTAAATGAACGGAAGTGGCTTCATGAAATTGTGCTTATGACTGCTTTTTAAATATGTTTAAATGATTACAACAGAATTTGATGTGATTATCAACCATTTTTCCCAGCTTTATATCATCTGAAACTAGAATGTATAGGTAGCCTTCAACTTTCCATTTTTCACATTTAGGACCATTGCAACATCCCCATGGTTATGTGATCAAAATACAGATGCTTGGCAACTGGTGTGTGTGTGTGTGTGTGTTTAATGAATGATTTAATTATTTTAATTAATTTATTGTTTGGCTATTTATAAACAATTAATTGCCTCAATGGCCTAAAGTAGAAAACAGAACAAAAATAACAATTGCTGCTGCTGCTGCTACTACTACTACTACTACTACTACTACTACTACTACTACTACTACTACTACTACTACTACTAAAAGAGTGAAACTGTGAAAAATCTTATAGTTAATTTAAATGTAAAGACCATCCCAATAACAGCCATATTAAGTTAACTTTTTGATGGTATTATATTCATGAATTAATTAAAAGCTATCTGAAACAGTTTTGCTTTGATCAAATTCCAAATGACCAGTCTTGTGGGAACTTTAATTGCCTTTGGAAAGTTGTTCATTGTTTTTGAAAATAGAGCTAAAATAGAAAACTATTTCTTCTCTACCTCAGCCTCCCCTAATTCCACAGTTCATATTAGATTTTGATTATTTGAAGGAGGTGGTCCTGAAAGTACCTTGCTGCCAAGCTGTGTAGCTCTTTACAGGTTAAAGCCTATTT